GAATGGAAAACATGAGAACCTTCAGATTCCAAAGTTCTATCTTAAATTCAACTATTTTAAATTAACATCTAGTTGTAGATGAAAACCAAACTAAAATACTCTTAAGAGGTTTTGTGAAAATACTAACTACAATATCCTAGGAACATTTTCCAGTTCTTTAAAATATTTTTGTGTCATATTTTAATTAAAATACTTGGGAAGCTCACACTGATGAAAATAAAGGGATATAGGTCTACCCTTTCATCAGTATTTTATACTTTTATCCTTTAGAGAATTACTGAACATTCTAGACCATGAATTCAGAAAACAAATACAGTCTTAAAGACTTCTGTTAGGATCAAACTATGAGAGTTATATAAAGATATAGATATGTCTCTGATTCTAATGGTTCTAAAGAAACTTCTCCAAGCATGTGCCAGCATGTGACAATAACAAATCCTTTAGTTCCCAGTGCTGTGCTTCCAGTTACATCACTGGGAACAGTAGCTGTCATGGCCCTCTTCAGGACTGGGCTCCCCTTTTTTCACATAAAGAAATTTCCTGAAACAACAAAGAAGTTTTAAGATCTAGTAATCATCATATGTCATATTATTTGAACATGATTTTTATGCATCCATTTCAAAGGCAGACTGGATGTTCAGCCAGTGATACAGCTGGCATTTTTCCAACCTAAACAGCATGGACTCTTCAGCTTTACCACTCTTACAGGCTCTAGCAGATTTTGGAGGTAATGTGCAATCAGGTACGTGAGACCATATTACATATTGGCAAATTTCTCCCCATGGAAAATGAAAATATTGTAGTCATAGGACATTATAGTTATTTTCAATGTGGTTAAATTTAAAGAGTGAATTAATCCCAAATGTAATTCTATTGATTTGAACAGAGTTGTACAGGAACAAATGTGGTCTCAGAGAATTATAACCATAAATATACTAAGTTACAGAGTTCTTTTTCTCTGTATTGAATTCTGACCCTAATTTTGGCTCTCACCTATATCTTTAACTTTGAAACTAATCTACAAGCACTAATTACTCCTAATGAAATATCTATGTAAATAAGACAAAATGTAGAGCTGTGCTCCTATAAGAGGAGAGTATTTGGCCCACATCCCACACAACTGCTATCCTCTAATTCCCTGAGAAGTACTCAATGGGTGCATATAAAATTTGGGGCTTTGTGGCAGTGAGATTGCCAGTTTGGCAGAAGAGAAGGAGGAGGGAATGAATACATCCATGGTCCCATGGAGGTGCTCCAAATTTGGATCTGGGATGTACTCCCAGTTCCTACAGTACAAAAAAAGCCAAGCACACAGGCCTTGCCCTCCCACCTGTTTGAAACCACTGCTCAATGGGAATGCCTTGATTGTTTTCTGATCTTTGTGGAACTCTCAGTTATTGGACACCTTTGGTCTGCACAACTTATTTTTGTAGGAAATGTTTGGAAATTTCAGCTGTTCTCTTAAGCTCCTGTCATCCTAGTTAACAATGGTATAAATATAGACTGCTGTTAAGGAAAGACAAGTACTGAAGTGCAATTAACCTTTAACAACCTATTAATTATATTATATTAATATAATATAATGTACAAATTATATTAATGCATGAATCCTGAGTACTGTGAAAAAAGTCCATGCTCAGGATGCCTACCAACTTCTTCTCCCATGGAGTTATTATACTGTTTTCCAAGACAGGTTTCATTGGAACCATTATTTAAATTGAAAAAAATCACCCTCTTTTAAACACCTCTGCAAGCAGAAAATGAAACCTCCTGTGAGAAATCACCTGACAGGGCATTGCTGGAAACAGATGATATCCAAGAGGTCTTGGGCACACCTCTGTGTAAGCAAAGATATCTTTGCTGCTGTATTAAGGGACCAGCAGGGAAGATTCCAGGTAATGTCTTCATGGGCTGTCACCATGCTTTTCCACTTTCTTATCTTCCATATGTATGTCCAGTATCAGTGCAAACTAAGATGAATATAATTTACTAGTGACAAAGCTTCAAACAAAAAGTAAGAAAGAGTAGATGAGATTTGTTGGTTAGAGTTGATGAAAGGAGAGAAAAAAGCAAGAAAAAAAAGACTAAGGATCAAAGACCTAAGTGAGAAAAAGCTACATAGCAGTATTCCCAGTGGCTTTTTAGATGCGATGCAGCACACTACTAGATAGCATATACGTGACAAAATGTAGATAGTAAGAATTTATTTAATTTTCCAATGGCTCCAATATAGTTATTAAGAAGTTGATTACTCACCCACACGTTTTGGAGAGCCTCAAATTAGACAATATAGGGAAGGAGAATTTTTAATGGTTTATTTTGTATACTGTATGTTTCTACATGAATCAGAGCTGAGTTTCCTATTTTATGTGTGTTCAGTCATTGTAAGGGAAAACATAAACTTAGTGTATGCCCATAGCTGCCCCATCCCATTGTGAAAGTGTGAAAACTAAGCAATGTGTTGGTTTTGTTTTTCTGTTGACATCATTCTTTTCCTGTGGGAGAAGCTGGGGAACAAAACATGCAGCTTATCACTTTCCTCTAAGATTTGGAGAGCTCTTTTTATACATTTGTAAATCTGTGGAAACATTTCCCCTACTTGTTAAGTATATGACTTGACAAGAAGCATGTGAACTGGATTAGGCAATTCACTACAGGAATTCTTAGAGATCCTAGACTTTGTGTTCTGAGGAGCTGAACACAAAGGAGATGAAGGAGATGAAAATGGCATTATAGGACACAGATGATGGCCAGAAGCTCTTGGAAATGTCCTCAGGTGAGTACTTGCCTTGGCATGTACCACCATATGCCCAAGGGGAAACTGAGACTGTTCTGTGAAACAGCAGCATTGGCTGTACCAGTGCCCAGGCTGGTAGTGGTACCCAAACCCAAGCATCTGATAAACAAAATTAACATATGGACTCCCATTTCCCTCTTTGCAATGTTAGTTTGTGGTGGAATGACTGACACAGTGAGGCTTCCATTTTGCTGTCTTCCTTGGTGATAGAGTGAATTCTGGTCCTGGTAAATTCTAGTACTCTTTGTACCTTACATATCCTCTCTGCAGACATATTCCTGGAGGGTACCACTTACAAGCTTCTTCTAGTCAAGAACTGAGAAAAATAAAGAAACGCATAACCTATAGAAGCAAAGAACACAGCTTATAAATTATAAACACCAGTACAATAGCTCAGAGAAGGATATTGATAAAAATAAAGTAATTTTTTGGTGGGATTCATCTCTTCTAACCTTCACTTTCTGAAATTGGGGCACTTCAGTGACAGTTTTCTGGATTATCCACTTTTTTAGTATGTGCAGACCATGAACATTTTTTTGTTCATGGTATGCACATTGTTTCTGTACATGCTTGTGTGTGTCTGCGTGCACATGAGGGAACCCCAAGACATAAACATATCTCTGATATCAGTTTGCTGTAGTCCTACACAAGTCCAGCTGCTCTAGTTTTCTGCTGAAGTTTGGCCAGGTTTCACCCCACAGGTGGACAGTATCAGATTTCAATTTTTCCTTGGTTGTCTCATTGCTATTCATCCTTACTTTCCAAGAAAGATGTTGTTACTACTTAACTATCATCTTTGGTGGAAAGTACCTAAATTAAGTATTAACTACACTCTTCCACTGATTTTGTGATGACCTGCAATTTGTCAAATCATTTATTCCTCTACTGTAAGCAAAAAACAATACGAGATCTCCTCCCAGACAGCATTTCTGCTGAAAGGCTTGGTATTCAGGAGGTGGACCTACTGTGCCTGTAGTGAAAAATGAATTATTTAATCACTGAAAATTTACATTCTTGCTTCTGCTTTTTCTCCAGCAGTTGGAGAATATTTTACAGACTGTGAGGAGGGAGAAGGCATTTTTAAATCACATCCATTTTAACAATTTAGAACATTTTAATCCCAGCCACTGACCTTGCCAGAACACTGATCAGAACACTCCAAAGCATTAGTAAAATATATATGCAGAGATGATTTTTGCAACATGAGGTCATCCATAATGTTACACTTCCCACCACTGGCACAAACATACAAACACAAGCAGACAAATGCATGCTTATATTTTTGTATGCTATATGCACTTTCATACTTTTAAAATAACAACATGGGGAAGATTTCAGAGAATAGAGAAGCAATTAGTCTGGATAAATCATTAAGGTGTAACTCATGGACTGTGGATTAGAGTGTATATTCTACCAAAATGACTGTTGTTTTGACTGCTGAAATAGTTTGCTGCTGGTTTGGGAGAGAGCAAGAAAGCAGTGGCACAGGGTGCTCATTTGAATAATGCCCTAAATCAGTCCCATATGTTGACCCTGTGACCAATCCTTGCTGGCAAAAAAATCCAAACAAATCAGTGGTATTTTTCAAGTGGCTTCCAAGCAAGAGTCTTCATTCACCTAGCCCAGGGTACACACACACACAGAGCACTTTGCACCTGCATAAATAAGGCATTTTCCTATATTGATAGCAAGGAAAAAAAATCCTCTGTTTTGATTCATGCATAGAAAAATAATAGTGTATATAATTAATACAGCTTGACCAAAGTATTAGACATGGTTGCACAGACACCCTCCTATTTTTCTACCTCTAACAAATAGAGCATTATATAAGGCTGCAATCTTATTCCATGTGTGCTTTGGAGGGAATTGAGAAAGTCTGGCATTTAGCTACTACTTTTGCTGAATACTCATCTCCCATCTAAAATGAACTAAAACACATTGAACTTCAATGTGTAATTGCTGAACAGGAACTTAGAAATCTTCAAAATTGGTTACTTATTCATAGATGTTTCTATGTGTGGAGATGGTGCCGGTTCAAGGCTCCTCAGGCAGCACAGCAAGAACAGAGTTTCTCTTTGCCAAGGAAACTTCTGCCAGGGAAAATAAAGTGAGGTATGGAGAAAAGACCAATGTGATGAAGAACCAGGAATGACTCCTCAAAAGCTGAGCTTGCTGCTTCTGGTACATGGAGAAACCACAGATGATGGAAGCAGAGGACATGACTGCCAGGAGAGGCTGCCACCACACATGCTGCTGCCCCTCTTCCTGCAGCAGCTTCTAACCTGCTTGTAAGGCTGTGTCACGGGTAAGTAGGCTTGGCTACAGATTGTTTATCTTTCTTGAGAGTCCCTGGGCAAATTGAGCTTCTGCCTAGAGCTAGATCTGCATTTTGAGGCATTTTCCTGTAGCTAAAGTCAAGGATTATAGCCCAATAAAACCATCACACTAACTGCAGGACAAAAAACTGCAGAACAGTAAAGGTTATTCCTGATATAAGGATCTCACAGTCTGCAAGCAGTGGCCACAGTTAAATACAGTATACTTATGGGAAGGTTATAAGGGGACACCAAAATAGTTGTGGTCAATATAACAACTACAGACCTTTGCAGTCCTCTGAAGACATCATCAGAAAGGTGAAGGTTTGAGGGAATTGAAGGAGTGCATTGGGGTTTTGTGGAGAGTCTATCACTGATTAAGACAGAGGACATTCTTACACTTTTTACCTGTGGCAAAAAACAACTCTAGGAATTTGTGGCCTAAATTTGGTAGCAACAGTCGTCAGTCTACAAGGAGTTTAGATGGCACTTGAAAGCAAGAATGATAATATGAAACACAGACTGAAGGAAATCCTTTGTCTCTCTTCACTTGGGAAGGAGGTCTCCTAAAATTACAGCTGGGCTAATTTCATCTGTAGCGATTACGGCAGGTTTGATTCCAAATCAAAAGATTTCATTTCTCTCTATTGAGGATATGGATATTTTGCATCACTTTCAAAAGTGCTGTAGAATACTTCCAAATTTAGCACCACTCCAGCTTAAGAACATAAACACAGTATTTCAGGATGTAAAAACATATTAAATCAGAACTATTGTTTTCAGACTGTCTCTTTACATTCATAGATGCTAAGTATGACTGGTCATGATTTTGGAAGTGAAAATGGTAATTCTCAAGTTATCTGAGTGTGTCTGTTAATTTCAACCTTTCCTGCTGAAGACTTCAGCACTCTCCTAATAAGCCTATGTTTAGTCATATATCTGCAAGCCCAGTAATTCTTTCTTGCTCCACAGCTATGCCATTCTATGTTGCTTTATTCCAGCGAGACTTTGCATATTTTAAAACTATTATTTGAAAAATATTCTTGTTAACATTTTCCAATAACACTTCCAACTATTATAAGTGTTTCCCTTGGAATTTCCTCGCCAGAGAAATGTGTACCACACACACAGAAAAGATGATGAGCCCAGGTTGCATCAGTCCAGTCATATTTGCCCTCTATCAACAAGTTCAGTGAATCTGCCATGGGCAGGTGAGGAGCTCTGCCCAGCTGGTTCATCTGAGCCTGTGCAGTAAGTCTGACACCTCCAGCCTGCACTGGACCTGTTCAAAGATTTCCCTGTATGCAGAAAGTCCTCTTGTGTTTTGCATACCCAGCAGCACAGTCATGATAGCTGGTAATTTTTCCAGTGATGAAAAATTTTGTCCAACACTGTTGCTGTTTTCCTTCTGAATACATTTTGCACTATAAGAAGCGGACATGTCTCTAGAAACACAGGTCTGGGTGTAACTGCACAATGACAGATTGACCGAGGCCTGGTTCCTCTTCAGGGGTGTACAGCTCCCCAGGCTGACTGCGGGGTCACCGAGGAGCACAGCTTCTGCTCCTGATGATGGCTGTGACAAACCAACGGACAGCCGCCCCAATCAATAGCTGCCCATATGCCATAGAGTGCCACAATTTTTTTTTTCCCAAGAAATTCTCCTCTACGTATCCTTAACTGGGTCAAATGCCTGCTGGATACGCCTGTCTTCTTCATTGAGGGTAGAAGTGACCAAGACAAGTAATTTAGACTAGACATACAACTTTGAAGTGCCTAATAACATTAATCCCTTCATTGTTTCCTAAGAAACTGGGTCATACACATTCAATTCCTCTCTCTATTTGTTTCTATATGTGTCTGTCATTTCCCTGGCTGCCTATTGGTTAACTCTGAGCAAGTCTGACAGAAGGACAGAAGGTTCAAATAAAATTACATTTCTGTAAACTTTGTGGAGTCAGTGGCTTGGTAATGGAGGTTAGCCCAGTTCAAGGGCTAAACAAAAAGCTACAGTGTAAGAGTAGTAATTATCTACTTGGTTTGGTCTGCCAGCTGGCCAGTCGGGACACATGCATGGACTGGCCAGTCAGCATTGGAACTGATACAGCTCATACTTCAGCTTCTTTAACCAAAATCCAGTAGACAGAGAGGCATGGGAAAATAGGTGGCACAGAAGAAACTGCATATATTGCAGAAGTTTGAAGTCACAGATAATCTCAGGTTACTGCAGTGGAACTGCACAGAGAGACGTACCTGATAAATGCATGTGGCCTTATTAATGGTTCGACACAGACCAATTTGCACATGAATAGTGTGACACATAAAAACCACGTTTGAAGTCCACATACTCTATTATATATGTTGTGCAACAGACACGCTTGATTTCTATATAAAAGTATGCACCATATAGGTAAGAGCCCCTAGGTATACATATAATGCATATACACATTCTATATATGCTGCATAAATACACAGTCTGTTACAGCTTGTATCATATATCTGAACTCAGTGCAGTAATTCACCACATAGTATATACAGTGTACTATGCCACTATAATACCCCATTACATACATATCATATGGTATTGATCTCTGTTCTTTGAATCAAATGCATAAACCTGTTTCCTAGAGCTCAAATCAATGAAAGAGGGGGGAGAGAAATCAATGTTTTGAAAATATTTTTTTGTTTTTTACCTTTAATATAGTCAATGGCTGACAGAAAAGTAAAGAGAATATGAGGAAGAGAAGACAAACATATGTATCTCAAATACAGATAGATTCAACATGTTTGTAATGATCTCTAAATGGGATGATTCTGCACAGGTTGTTAAGATATTTCTATCATTTTGTCCAGCTTTCCTCAGATAGAGAAAAGTGATGGTGGGGACCTCAGTAGAAAGCAAAAGCAAGCCAGGACTTAGTACGCTGTAAAAATCCAGCCTTTGGATGTCATTTGCTCAGGTGTGGAGGGCCAGCATAGCTGCCTCAAAGCCAGGCATGGGATGTACACCTGGCAGCTGCTGAGAGCCCAGAGAAAGGAGAGAGGGACTGTTACCTCTGAAATTCTGCTTCTGGGCATGACAGAATAAATGTATATGTGTTATCTGGTGCTAAAGATGTTCTTTCTGCTGGAAACTCTGCGCTGCAGCATGAGAGATGCTTCCCTGTGGCTACAAGTCAGAAGTAACAAAAAGCTGTGCATACTCAAATAGCTGCATTCTCCTAGGTGAAGCAGCTCTTTAATGTTACTTTCTGCTGCAACATGAGTCAGATCAGGTCTGGCTGGTTATCAGCTGCTGACTGTGAAGGAAGGGTGGAGAGGGCTTGTGAGAGTCTCACCCTGCTGCCTGTGGCATGTCTGTCCAGGAAACAAGCCAGGAAGCATTTGAAGGAAACTATTGAGTTTGGTACTTGCTGGGTGGTCCAATAAGTTTGACATTTTTCATGCACCTTATTTCCACTATAACTGGGTGGGGTTTTTTTCCTTCACTATTAAAATTTTGCTTTCCAATTTAAGAATTGTGATGGTGATTCTTACTTTTTTTTTTTTTTTCATCCCTCCTCAGTGTCTGCCACTCTCTGCCCCAGACTTTCAGGAAGAGAAAAACAAAGGAACTGTGGATGGAACATTTTTGATGTATCTGACTTTTGAGTTCACTTGGAACTCTGATAAAAGCTACCAAATTTCCCAGGCACCTGAAAGAAAACAGAGGTATTTCTTTGTCGTTTTCTCCTCCTTGGATAGCCTGCCTGTGTTGGCTGATGTTTCTTGCGGCTGTTCAGTGAGGAGAGACATTTAATTGGCTTATTTAATTAATAAATAATAGCCATTTAAAACATGACCAGCCGCTAAGCTAATGTGGGTTGCCAGTCTTAAGCATCATCCTTTCCTTCTCTGCAGAGGAATATGGGCATCTTCACTGGGTGTTTTTCAGCAGCATATTCAAGCTTTCATAGAACTCCTCACTCCTACAGCTCTCACTCCATTTTGTTGCTTCGGTTTCTCTGGGTTGATTGCAGCTGCAACATTTTCTCTCTTTCTTTTTTTATTTTTTCCCATAGAAAAAAAATTATACATAGCAATTTCACCCATGTTACAAACCTCTTAAGAATACAAATCTGCTTACTTGGAGATGTTTTTTGGCCTGAGTTGTGGTGAGAGGAATTGAAGGTCATAGCAAATGCTTCTGGCTTGCTAACCTAACACCCTGTGGCACCCTTCTGATTTTTAGAATTCCAGTAAGATTAATTTGAAGGAGGTACATTTCATGAGCCTCTTTTATTAAAATCACTCATGTGACTGTGTTTTTTTCCCCTTTTGAACAAGAGACAGCTTTTTCTTTTTCTCTGAGAGTAAAGATATATTATAGCTGCACCCATCAACTGCTTCTGTTGATGTCCAACAGAAGACGGGGTTAAAAACTTCTGGAGTATTATTCATTACTAAGTAATCTGTGAGCTTGTTTCCATTTCTTCTTGAGTCAGGAGGTTGACAAAAGCAAAAGGTCACAGCCCAGACAGGCTGTTTTGCAACACTGAATGTAAAGTGTGCTGCACTAGAAGTCACATAAGGTGCCACTGCCCATTTACTTGTGCTATGCAAAGTTAGACTGTGAAGCAATATAAAAGTGGCATTTCTATTGCATGAAACAATAGGGCTATCTCTGCTCATAGGAACAAGTCAAGCTCTGCATTTGGCCCAGATTTGGTGGCATATTCACCCCAGGGACCTCAAAAGGATTGGGAAGCTTTTATATATAATGTAATTCTGTAGCTCTGTGCTGGTGTGTGTGTGTGTGTGTGTGTGTGCTCTGCACTGTCACAGCTTCCATGGTGCAACTCCATGCAACTTCTATGGCGACTGCCTGAACAACTGCAATGAGGTGCTTGCTCAGACATCACCCCTTGCTGAAGGCCAGGGGGCCAAAGCAATGTTATAGTGTCACAGCCATGCAGCTGCTTCAGTGTGAGCCCAGGCCTCACTTCCTTGG